ACCACTACAGTGGCGCCCAACGGTGGGGGAAATGCCATTTCTGTGGACATAAAGCCGGCAGACTGATGCATGGTGCCGAACCGGCGAAGAGATGACACCAAATGCAAAAAAGATGGCAGAACCACTCAATCACTGACTAGCGTCGCAGCCCATCGCAGACTGAACATGGAACACCTCAGAATGGCCTGAACACCGAGTATTTACGACGGTCAATATACGCTGGACAAGTGCGTGCATATGCTGCAAAAAGGCGCCCGATTTCGCAGGCTGCAAGAACGAATGCAAGGCTAGGTCTGCAAACTTGGAACTCAGAGAGAAGGGCGGAGAGGCCGTTGAGCAGATCAGACCAGAGGAGATGGTCAATGTACGTATTAATATGAAGGGTACTGCAAAAGAGCCGGTTGCAAACAGTATGAAAGAAACGATGATATCAGCGTCTCCTCAAAAACGGATCACTCGGTTCGAGACTGAAACATTGGACAAAGCCGTGGCGGTGACAGAGGACAGCAAATGCTAGTGATGGCTTTCTGAGAAAAAGAAGCCCTCAGCTGTATCGGGCCAGACCATAGAAAAAAGCCAACAAGTCTATTGATACTACAGATTGTTATGGCTGTGGGAGTGCGAGCCAAAACAAAGAAAAAGGCGTGTTCGAGCAGAACGACATAGGCTTATCAAGACCAATGATGGGTTAAATCAAGAGCGGCCAAAGAAATAAAGGTATCCGACACATATGTGACGAACAAAAAGGAGCACCACGAAGACGCCGATGGATGACGTTTGCGAGAGGAACCTGCAGGAAGTGGGTGGCATGAATTGCAATAGAATGACAGCCGATCTAGCTCCCCAGAAGATCCCATCTGAATCCAGTTAAGAACGCAGAAAGGTCTGCAAAGACTGCACACTGATCACGTGAATGACAGAACACGCCCTCTTACTCATGTTTTAGGCAATTCTGTTTATCACAGGAGTCCTGCTAGCGCCCGGAGAAAGCTGTGGGGAAAACAAATGCCAAGGAGACTCGGAGGCCTGCGTTACCGGGCCGGCGAGATCAACTTTTCGTCCGACCAAATGGGCTGTTATGGTAACTACTGGCACCTGAGTGCTAGTCATTCGTGTAATCCTCCTGTTGACTATAGCTTGGTGATTTTTTATCGCATTCACGTTCCTTGCAAATCCCTTCCAAGAAAACGTAGTCGATCGTTCATTGAATCATGGGAGTGTACATGCCACTGACGCCCGTTCCGTCTAACCACACCAGCCCGTGCAGCCATATATGGAGCCGCAGGTCGAACGCAACATGTCGCTGTGAGGCGAGAAACAGCGGAACAGGATCACTGAGCGGCGGGAGGTCATCGGAAGAGCTGCCGTCCGTCTGCCGTATGCTTTTGTCAACAAAATGAAGTCCGCCAGGTCACGAGGAGGCTAGGCGCGAGAGCATCAAAAATGGGGGGAGACGATGCCCGCAGACGGAGCGCGCCTGGTGAAGACGTCGTGGAGCACGACAGGCATGAACGGTCTACTACGAAAGTGTACATGTGAGAAGAATAATGTGACGTATGAGGCGCGGGAAGTGGCACATGCAGTGGGTATTAGGGATGTATAGGTCCAGCATAAGGTCAAGCGTTGCTATGGCGTAGTAAGTGTGCGGCACTGTAATTGGCGAAATCACAAGCCTGCCAATCAGATGGAATTGTACAAGGAGGAATGTGAAGTATGGGGTTTGAGGATAGACCCATGCAACAGGTAATAGTGGTACATGGCTATAAAGTAATGACAAGGACTGCCAGAGCGTAGTGGAGTGTGAATGGGTCATTATTGGCGTCGAGTGCAATTGGAAAACCGTCAAGGTTAGAATGTAAATCAGAGTCGCGAGGATACGCCTAGTGGATGATGCTGATGGCGATTGGGGTTTTAGGGCGCGCTGACTTCTGAGGTCATGTTGCGCCCAAAACGCGACTGGTGGAGGGGGGTTTTGAAATGTAAAGTGGAGCCTACATTTTTTCTTGCTTACATGATTGCGCGCCAAAATGCAGAAAATACATTCTAATTCAAAGTACCTATGCATGGATATACCTATACATAAGCCTCCCTGTAACACCCACAGAGATGTTAGCCGACGCTCAGAAATCAGGCCCAGACACTAGGGATCGCACAGGCTCGACAGGCGGCTGCGGAGAGGTAAAACCACAGCAGAACAATCTCTGCGCACAGGGTGTCAGAGAATGCACCTCGGCACGGCTGGGCACATGCATGCGTACTGCGAACGCGGTTCCTCCAGTGCCCGCCTTTGGGCTCGCGGGACAGCCGACCGACGGACCTGAGAATTCCCGGCCGAGAGCCGAGGGGTGGATGCTCTGGAGAGCAGGGCGCCAGCTGTCGGCACAACGTCGACATGCAACGGCTGACGAAACAAATGTCAGAAATTAACATAGCACTTTGGAGGCAATAGGAAAAGAATGGGAGGGATTGCGACGAAGAGACCAGCCCAGAGTCTAGTGGGCGGAACTGACAATTGGTGAAAACGAGGGATCGTAGCACGTCGGAGGGGGGGGGGGGCAGATCGACGAAGAGACCAGCTCGACGAGGAGACCAGCTCGAGAAGGAGACCAGGTCGACACGTGCCCCTGACCAGAGCACTCCTGTTGGCTTCCGGCAGCGCTTGACTCTTTTCAAGTGACAAGACAGCCAAATGTTAGTCCAAAAACAGAAACTTTGAACAGCAAACGTCTACTCTCCTGGGTTCGTATCCTGTTACCAAGCCCCCGCCCCCCCCCCCCCCCTTTCCTTCGACGTACACTCCTTGCTCTGTGGCGCATTCTGTAAGATTGTGAGTCCGGTGCGCGGCGCTATGTAAATTATCTAGTAGTGGACCGTTTCGGGCGAGATGGGCGCGCGTTAGTAGGCAGCGGGTGCACAGGGTATAATGGGATTGAGCAGTGGTATGAAACCGGTGGCTGGTCGCAATACATGCAAGATTATGCCATTTGAACTATCGCGGACAGGTGTATTGCGCGCATGTAGATTAACGTCGCGTGCATAAAGGCGCGAATATATATTATATTTTAATACATAAGGCTTCTGAGCAGGTGGTGGATTTAAGCGAGGAAGCGAGAATTCAGGCGAGGAATGGACGTGGTGTAAGTATCTAGACCCAGATACGATGCATCAGCAAATTCGTAGGCCGCGCGAGTCTTTACGCAATAATTAGTTTGAAGATGGACGTTGCTAGTTAAAACGCAGTGCTTTGTTTGCAGCACACGCAGCTCTTGACGTAGACGTACTGTAAAATGCATGCCTCGACCCGTCAGTAACTGGATGACTAGCCAAAGGCTCGCTGAAAATTATGGTCAGGGATGATGGATCTATTTTATTTGATATGAAGCTGCGGAAGGGAAGAAAAATAAACTTTAAGTGACCATATCCTCGCATCACTAATCCCATTCTGATGTAGGTTTTCCATGACGACACCAAATGCGTTGTCCCGATAAGCTTGGTTGTGAAAGGGGTGATGAAAACTGTAGAAGCAATGGTTGTTATTGCTAGGATGCTATTCCTCATTCCTTTTGATGTACAATAGGTCAAAACTTTTCCTTTCCTTGCAACTCCTGATCGGTGTTCACATCTCCCAGCCCATTCTATGCATATTCAATAAACACTTCATCCCCGCATACCTTCCTGCTATACCTCGATAACCCGTCCAAGCCTAAAGGGAGTCATTCATACGTGTTTGCTTATGCAAGTATGGGGGGATTAGAACGGTGTACTGGCCTCGTCTAACTGCTGTTCCTATATCTGAAAATTTCAGCTCCCTCCAGCCCTTCCGCCGTGAAAAAGTTCAGTGGAAGCTACGCTCCATGGAGGCGAACTCCATATTATGTGGTACCGTTACCAGACCTGTCGTTTTCAGCTCAGTCGCTAGGTAACACTGCTTGTTCTAGTTGAGGCTCACGATTTCAAGCGTGGCCGTGTCGCCCACCTCTATTTGTGGGTATCTCCGCTAGAGGGACTCCGCATCCCGTTAGGTAGGCGTCGGCTTGGCCATGGATGCGGGCCTACCGTAGTGTCGGTCCCGCACGCGAGGCTCTGTGCGTTTGCGGGTGCTGCCCCACGCACCAAGAGATGTACCCCCTCCCCCCCCCCCCCCCCCCGCCGGTCTGGCGACAAGATTTAATGTCTTTACTGGGGTCCTGGCTGGTCGAAGCTGCTTGGCTACGCGGTCCGGACCGCACACTCGATACAAATGCGGCGTCCATGGGGGGGAGGCATGCTATTACCCCATGCCGAAGATCTCAAGCCTCCTGTCACCCTCGAATAGTGCTGAGTACGGCAGCGAGGGGCCCGAGGAAGGCCGTATGGAGTCATGAGGCTTCGGGAGGACCTCGCCGCCGCCGGGCCAGAGGTAAGCGGCCTCCGGGCAGCGAATTGGCAGCTAGAGGTGAGCACGGGTCTCGCCCTTGCCGTTATGCTCAGCACGGTTTCAGTTGTATTAGGTATCGCATACCGATGATGCACCGAGTGCTCTTCGCACGATGTTATTCCTCCGCTCTGGAATTACAGAGTGAAGAGTACTTCCTAGAGACTAGCTGAGTCTAAGCAATTTGTCCCCTCTGCACTGTCCGTGTGAAGAGCATTTCCTTAAGATTTATGCAGCGTTCAAGCAATCCGTCCCCCCCCCGTCCCGAATTATACGTTGTTGGTTCTGTTTATCAGGCGTGGCGGTACGTTACATGACAAGATGTCGGCTTGTTTCAGGCTGCATTGCATGCGGCCCGACGGAACGAAGTGGCCCTTCGGACCCTGCGGCGCCGAGCGGACAAAGTAGAATAGTGGCTGCGCCGCGATGCGGCCCGGTTCCACCATCTGGTGCTGGACCTTCGACTGATCTGCCCCCAGGAGGGTGAGTTGCGTTGATCCCTGGCCCAGCGTCAGCTCATTCTGCATCCATGGGGCAACTGCTCCCGGAGGATTAAAATCGACACGTGTGTGGTTTTCAGTATAGTCTACGAGGGGTCGTCTTTTTGCTTGTCCTTCCCCTGTCAACGGCGTGATCGGAGCTTTGACCAGACCTAAACGGCGTGATCGGAGCTTTGACCAGACCTAAACGGCGTGATCGGAGCTTTGACCAGACCTAAACGGCGTGATCGAAGCTTTGACCAGACCTACACGGCGTGATCGGAGCTTTGACCAGACCTAAACGGCGTGATCGGAGCTTTGACCAGACCTAAACGGCGTGATCGGAGCTTTGACCAGACCTAAACGGCGTGATCGGAGCTTTGACCAGACCTAAACGACCCGGTTGACGCCTGGCCAATTTCACACGAGTTCCACCAAACTCGTTTCATGTTTAAAAGCTATTTTCGAATCATTGATTTGTTCAGACGACCACCAACTCTCAACACTTTTTAATTGCATGCATTCTTCCATTACATTGATCCTGTGCACGGCAGGAGCGCGGAACGACGGGGGCCGATCAACGTACGACCAATGGGTGATTTAAGTACTATTTAAACTTGAGCTCTCGCTGCTCCCATGAGGACAACAAACGTGATGAGCTAGACGTGCCGACGTTCGATACATTAGCGGACACATATAAGCACGGACACACTAGACAAGGCCAGTACCGAGCGTGGAGTTAGACATCGTGTACAAGTTTAATAACTTGAGGTACAATGCAACAACAATAGAAGATGTGCCTCTAGAATCTAGACCAATTATAGCGCGGAGAAAACCGCCGCAGGGCCTGCCGGCAAAGTCGGAGACAATTTTGGAAGAAATAGATTGTGGGAACGCGGCCGACGCGGCACGACAGTCTTTCTGTCTACAGCCCAGCGCGGGCGACACCCGGCCTTTAACCGGTGAAAAGTCCATAACCCACGGTGAAAGAGCCCACAGTAAGACAGTGGAAAGGTCCCATATCAGTCAGCGGTCAGTACCGAAGGGCGTCATCTGCCACAATTCTCTAGACGCCCGATAAGCCGATCTGGTGTCGCTGTGATCATTGGGAGTGCAGTACTTAATCATTTTCCCTCTGAGGACCTTCGGATCGATCGGGGGGCACCGGCCCCGTCCCGTCAAAATGATAGTCGAAAGGCACCCACGGCTGGGACGGAAGAATTCCTCAGCTCCTGACCGTGAAAGGTAAATGGGGCCTCAGTGTTCTGCAGACGGAGCCCTTGGCCCAGGAAAGGCAAGAGCCTACTTCGTGTCCAAAAGGGTCACGGATCTGTAGGACATTGTAGGATCTGTGACCGACCCTGTTGGCCTGAGAAAGTCTATCCTTTTCAGAATCGACAGCTGAAACTAATTGCATCACCCGAATTCGAGCTAGATCGTTTACAATCTTTCGAGGTTAAGCATCGGTGTCTGGGGTCGCAGTTTTCGTCACACCAAGCGTTTCCGGCTAAACTAACTCCACGCGGCGGGCGACGGGCAAGCGAGGACGACCATGTCTCGTGATATCACGCTTTCGGAAGTCTTTCAAAATCATTTCGTGGCTTTCAAAAATGTCGGAGGTCAAGTGCATTTGCGAGGAGCACTATTGCATATAGATAACACACTGCTAAAAGCCTTATTCCTTGTTGAATAACAACCAGGAGAATGGAGAGACAAACGCACAGATTTTTCGGCTATAAGCCTTTATCAAGACGAATATCAACAGTAGGTTAAACATTGCCGCCCGAACCTACTCGATTTTTCACGTTTTTCTTTAGCAGCGAGCTACAGTTCTCACAGGTCATCAACATGCAGGGATTAAACAAAAAGCAATTGCCAGTTTTTACTACCACACAGTGCATATCCAATAAGAAACTAAAATACGCGAAAAAATCGTGTACATGCAAAGGAATTCGAGTAAACAGGCGTCACACATCACTTTTCCACGCACATGAGTGCAGGTAAACCGGCATCACGCATCACATATCACTGACACACGCAATCAATTTCAGTTAAACGGGCATCGCACATCACGCGTCAGGCTTCACTCACACATGTAAACGATTGTAAGCTAGCACACATTACACATCAAGGCACTAAGCACATTCGCATAATCGGCAATGATGAGCCCTGCACGTTAAGGTCTGGTCGCCGACTTCTTTTTGAAAAAAATGGATTCGCCTGTTTTCCGGTCTGGATAGTCCTGTGCTCCGAAGATGATTTTGATATCTAAAAGGGGCATAGGGTCTGTATCTTCCTGGATTTCAGCCTGAATGTGCTGTGTCAAAAAATGGTTGCTGAGACGAGCAGTTCTGTTTTGTTTTAACCGTGTCGCAGGTGTCCATTATATTCAAATGGATAAGGCGCATGGACTCCCGGACATGAACATTGCTTTTTGTCTATGTTCCTACTATGCTCTTCACACAGTTCACACTTAATTTCGTAAACTACGCTTTTTGCATGCAAACCTCGCGAAATCCAGGCTTGCATAAATGGCACCTATTTCCTCCGGGCGCTAGGGCTTCGACACAACACATTTCACCAGATACTTTTAAGCTTATTTTCGTTCTTCCAAGCTAACCGTACGCATAGTTTTGATTTTCTAACGATGTGTTTGATTTTCCAAAGCAAGTGCTCATTCATGTAAAATAGTGGTAAGAACTCGTCGTTCGACGGGGCGTTTTCCCGTTTCTTTCTACCGTAAGTGTGCTGCCGCCCATCCGCCCACGTGCTCTATACGTTTTACCTCTTCCAACATCATATCTTAGTCGTGGAGAATGTCCATTGCCCAAAAGCATACTTTGCCCGACAGCAAAGTCCATATTTTGATTATGATCTTTCCTTTTTCACCACTTCATAAGTTGTTTTGGGTCTTATGGAACATGTTACGTGTTGTATAGTGTTTAGTAGAACTTGGATGCGCAGATCCGCAGTGCAAAATTATACCAGAGCTGGTGGTCTTGAAAAGGAGCCCCACGTATAATGTTGTGCGGTTGTTCCTCTTTTCTACCGTCGCTGGTGTATCCAACTTGGGGTCCCATTTCCATCCCCTGTATGAACCATTGTAAAGGCTGAATTGGGATGCTGGTTGTTCATGGACTCCAAAAACGGTTCAAGGGCACGCTGTCCGTGCGTCCATATTCAAGCGTAATCATCGATGCATCTACCCAAATAAGTTGTTTTCAATGGGCGAGCATAGCTATGCTGTGCATAGCAATTGGGAACTCATGCGCTCCTCCTCTGGCGACGATATTTTTAGACTAATTTGAAACGAAGGGTCTGGCTGCTAGACTCTTAAAAATTAAATTTTGTGGCTAGATACATCGATGATTATGCTGGAGTATGGACGGACAGTGTGGCCTTCAAGAACTTGTTAAGTTGATTAACTATTACCGTCCCTATGTAGCCTTTACAACATAGCATAGAGCATACAGGGATCGGAAAAAGGGTTCCATAATTGGATACAATGGTGACGGTAAAAACGGAAAAACAACCGTACAACACTAGAAACGGAGCCTTTTGACAAGCCCACCAACTCTGCTAGGTAGTGCGAATGTAGTGATGTATGAAGTACGTAGTGATGCACTCGGGTGCGAATCTGTGTGTCTAACTTCCACTAAGCCAATATAATTCTAAACATTTACCGTAGGGCCCTAGACAGCTCATCAAGTAGTGAACAAGACAGAAGTGGCAGAAACAAAATATGGGCTTTGCTGTTGGGCAATGGATATTTGCTTCAACTTCGACGATATACGACGAAATCGACGTCGACTCGATTGAGTCGACGACGACCACTGGTAGGATGTTGGAAGAGGTAAAAAAAAAAATAGAGCACGTGAGGGGATGGGTGGAAGGAAACGGGAACACGCCCTCTCGGAAAACAGATTCTAAACACCACCTTACATAGATGAGCACTTGCTTTGGAAAATAACAGGCAGTATTAGACAATGAAACTGTGCGTACACATGGCTTGGAAACACAGCACTAGGCAAAAAAAGCATCTGGTGAAATCTTCTGTCTCGAAGCTTGACTGCCCGGGGGGGGGGGGGGGGGCAATAGGTGTTATCTATGCAAGTCTGGGCTTCAAAGGGGCTGCACGCAACAAAAACGTGGTTTACGAAAGTAAGCGTAAACTGTTCGAAGAGCATGGGAGATCACTGTCTATGTCACGGAGCCAATACGCCCTGTTCGTATGAGATATAATGAACACCTGCGAGAGGCTTAAAACAAGACAGAGAAATTCGACTTTCGACGACATGTTTTGACAGAAAACACTTAGGCTGAAATCCAGGGAGGTATACAGACCCCATACCCCTTTGAGAGCTCAAACATCTGCAGATAACATCTGCAGAGCACAGGGCCATCCAGACAGGAAAACAAGTAAGTACATTCTTACAAGAAGTCGGCGACCAGACCTTAACTAACAGGGCTCGTCATGGCCGATTTTACTAATGTGATCAGCGCCTTGATGTGTGATTCGTGCTAGCATGAAATCGTTGACATGTGTGAGTGAAGCCTGACGCATTAATCGCGATGCCCGTTGAATTGAAATCGTTCGCATATGTGAGCGATACGTGATGCGTGATGCCAGCTTACTGGATATAGCTGGCATGTTTGAATGATGCATAATGCGTGATGCCCGTTTACTTGAGTTCGTTTCCATCTACACGATTTTTTCGTGTGTTTTACTTCTGTGTTGGATATGCCTGTAGCATTTATATTGTAGCGAGGGTTGACCAGTGCTCGTTTTTAATCCTCTGAATGTTGGTGACCTGTAAAAACTGTGGCGTGCTTAAAAATGTGAACAATCGAGAAGCATCGGCAGGTTATTTTAAATTTACCACTGATAGTCATTTCGATAAAGACATGTAGCCGAAATATCACAGCATCTATCCTTCCACTCTCCTGACTGTTCTCCGAGGAATAAGGCTATGAGCGGTCTTTCAAAATTTAGACAAGGAGTATGTTTTTTTCTGCTTTTTTGTCCTGTCTACAGCTACATGACATCCAAAATAGAGGTTTCGTCACTACGTTAAAATTTAGTATTGCTGGAAATGATGATCTGCTCCCACGACGCGTCTGATGATGATTGGGGCTAAAA